CTGTGTGTCCCCTGCGCTGCCTGTAGTGAGACCGCGAGAGCTGGGAACGCAGCTGCAGGGTCAGAAGGGGAGAAAGACCTTGAATTCAGTGCAGACATTCCCCAGTGCCAGCTGAGACCTGATCAGTGCTGCTCCCTGCATCCAGGAACAGCTTCCTAGCAGCCACGGTAAGGAGTTAACTCTATCCTGGCTGAATCCAGCACAGATGTATAGGTTGACCTAACGCTGACGGTCTGCTATGGCTGCCATACTTGGGAAATGAGTAATTAAATGTCTGCGGTAGGATGAGATGAGGTTAATGCAGTGCTCCACTGACCGCCGGAATGGAAAAAGGGACCTGGCTCGAGGTCTCCATTAACGTGACTTTCTTTGTTGTTGTTCTTAGTTTTTCTCACCGCTGAATCCTATAAGAGTTCACATTGATATTGGGGCAGACGGAAGAGCCACAGGAGAGGCAGACGTGGAATTCGTAACACATGAGGACGCAGTAGCTGCCATGTCTAAGGATAAAAATCACATGCGTGAGTGTCAAGTTCCCCTGGCGCTTTCCTTGACCAGGCTTTAGTGGGCTGTAGGAGGGCGAACTGAGCTTAAGGGTTTGAACCGCACGTAGCTGCAGCTGCTGTGCCGTAAATGTACCGACCGTGAGGCTTTCTGCCATTGATGGCGTTTCAGACGCGCTTTTTGTGAGCTTCGGACTGTCGCTCGTGAGGTGGGGTGGTTTGGGCTCTCTGCGTCTGGTGTCGGGAGCGACGCACCAAGGAAGGCTTTTCTGTTCCCTACAGAGCATCGGTATATTGAGCTGTTCCTGAATTCAACTGCTGGAGGTGGTTCTGGAATGGGAGGCTACGGCAGAGATGGCATGGGTACGCATGGATTCCGGGGGTAGCGGGTGTGTTGCCATGCCTGACTGAGTACCAGGCTCCTAACCATGTGCTTCCTGCTTTTCAGATCAAGGCTATGGCTCTGTGGGTAGAATGGGAATGGGTAGCAATTACAGCGGCGGCTACGGAACCCCCGATGGCTTGGGTGGCTATAGTAAGTGTCCAAGTTGTGGCTTCAGTGTACTTTGAAAACGTGTGTGCGTTGGGCGGGGGGCAG